GTGGTCGTTGTGGATGTCGAGGTCGTAGAGGCCGGCGTGGTCTCCTCCTCTGTAGTAGTGGACACGGTGGTGGTGGTCGTCGCCGAGGCATCGGCATGGCGGTAATGCGTCTCAAATTGCGTGCGCGAACTGCGTGACTAAAACCGGAATCAAATTCTCGCTCTCGACGCCCGTATTTGGAAAGACAATCCCGCAGAGTCAGACTAACCTGAAGTCGGCGCACCAGGCTGTCTGCCTTCATCACGGTGTCCATGAGGTCCTGCGAGGCGCGGAGGTAGAAGCGCGCCGTGCGACGCACACTCCAGTAGTAGGCGGAGCGCTCCTCGGCGGGCAGCAGCGACCTGCACACCTCGACGAAGGGCCGCGGCTGCTCGCTGCCGCCGCAGGGCAGATGGAACACGGTGCGCGAAGACAGAGTGTCGGCGGCGTCCTTCCAGCTCGCCACGCGCACCCAGGAGAGCACGTCAGCGGGCAGCGCGGCCAGGTTGTCCCCCAGGGCCGCCACCACGCCCGCGGACCACTGCGATGGTGACCTGCAGCCATGGGGAAGGGGCGCGTGAGACCAAGCGAAACGGAACACCCTCCCATGGCACTTGAAGTGAAGACACCCGATGTCCCCTACCCGAAGGCGCGCACGGCCAGCCGGTGCCAGGCGTCCCTCTGCTCGCTGCCGGCGCACATCGCCAGGGAGCGCGGCTGCCCCGCCGTGGCCTCCACGAACAGCTTCCAGGCCTCCGGGTCGATGGAGTAGATGACGTCAGCTGGGAGGAACATGTGCAGGTTGCCGAGCGCAAACAGGCATCGAGCTCCGACGGAACGGCGCTGCAAAGCGAAGCAGGAGTCCATTATGGGAACTCAACGTGGAGAGGGAGGTACGCCACAAGCCGGTGCATGGGCTCCAGAGAGAAGAGCAAGAGGGCGTCAGAGGGGGAAGTGGCAATTATGTGAGGAAGAGAAGAAAAATCTCCTATGACGCGTATGGGTCACTCACCGCCCGGAAGATGTCCACCAGGTGGAGCGCCAGCTCCCTGAGCCGCTCCATGCTGGGCACGGCGGCCAGCAGCTCCTGGGGCGGCAGCGCGCCGATGGTCGAGAGGATCTGCACCGCGTGCGCCGAGTGGTGGATGTGGCCCGGCCGCAGCGTGGACAGCACGTAGCCGCCGACGGCCTCGATGTCGCTGGGCTCTAGCACCGCGACGAGCGGCACCGTGACGTTGAAGCGCCGTATCCTCCGCCGCATGTCCATGTAGTCCTCGAGGGCGCGCTGCAGGCAATGCTGCAGCCGCTTCGGGAAGGGCTGCGGGCAAGAGAACGAAGAAGTGAGATAGTGTTCATTGTCGAGACCCTTGAGAGGCTGCGCCGTGCACTACTCACCAGCCCGGCCGCGCGGGTGCGGCGGTTGAACTCCGCCAGGATGACGGGGAAGTCCACGAGGTCCATGGCCATGACGTCGGCGCACGTGAGTCCGAGCAAGGCGCCGTTCACCAAGGGCCTGCTCGGAGACAGCAGGGTGTCCGTCGTCCAAACGACGCGCCGCTTCCCCGACGGCGACAGGGAGAGGTCGCGGCGAGCAGAGCCCAGGATAGCAGAAAGCTGGAGAAGCAAAAGGCATGTCGTTAACAAAAACATCATCCCTCACCGGCGCGGCGGGCCGACTCGAGCCTCGTACCTTGTCCACCGGTACTAGGGGAAGGTGCTTCTCTATGCCGTCCTTCATGTTGAGATTCAGTGTCGAGTCGATCCAGTCTCCGAGCGTAAAGGTTGACGCCATGCGTGACGTCGGTGACTTGAGCTGCTGGTAAGCCTCCTCCAGGGCCTCGCGCTCCGCGGCCACCTCGTGGGCGGAGACGAGTGTCCAGTACTGCGCGGGCGTAGGGTTGCGGAGAATGGCATCCAGGACCTTCGGCTCGGCTAGGAGAAGACTGAGGGTTACGGAGCTACCCATTATAAGCTACAGAGCACTTGACGGCAACTCACTCATCGACTGGCGCAGCTTGTTGAACAGCGTGGCGGAGCGCCCAGGGTGCGTGGCCGGGATGGACTCGAGGAAGTGCAGCATCACGTCGTTGCTGACCGCGGTCGGCCTCAGCGCCGCCAGCCTGGCGGTCGGCATGGCCCTGGTCAGGCCGTGGTACGTCTCCAGCTCCTTCAAAGGGCGGCGGAGGTCCAGGAACGCTCCCTTGTTGGTCAGGTAGCGCGCCTGCATGGCCGAGAGCTTGTACGTGTCCACGGCGGCCAGCACGTCCGGGGGCAGGCGGTGCGTGCTCATAGTGTAGTTGCTCAGCAGCGTGGCACGGATGAGGTAGGTCAGCCTCCCGACGTCCTTGAGGGAGCGCCCCCAGGTTCCAGGGTGGTCGGCCGTGGTGATGCGGCCCTGGAACAAGCCTGAAGCCACGACCTGCTCCAGTACCTGCACAAGAACAAGAGCGCGTCAGTCGGGGAAGTCCCGCGAGGGTCCCAGCCGGTTGCGCGGGGCGAGCGGGCACCTGCTTCAGGGTGGCCAGGGAGGCGTGGCTGGTGTCGGCGGAGGGCAGGCTGCTGAAGTCCGTGTCGTTGGCGAGGAAGCGCTGCAAGCCGGCCGGCGCCAGGTCCAGCATCCAGCCGAAGAGCTCGTTCATCTCCATGGAGGAGAGCGCCTTCTTGGAGTAGAGCCTGTCCACGAGCGCGCGCACCTGCAGCTTGCTGAAGCCCGACAGCGCGGTCAGCGTGGCCCGGTCCTCCTCCCGGCACTGCAAGTCGTTTATCTCGTCCGGAGTCGCCCCAGCCCACAACATTTTCAAACTGGAAGAAAGCAGTATTTAGAGCGTTTCTATGAGGTCACTGAACTCTTAGCGCAAAGTAGGGGTGAGTCTCACCCGTCAGTCGCCGCGTTCACAAGCTGCCCCTTTCCCGATTTTGCGTCCTTCTTGAACATGGCCATCCACACCCTCTTTGTCTCCGGTGGCTGCTCAGACCACCTCGGGTCGTTTCGATCCTCCCAGGGGTAGTTCCGGAGTCGCATCAACCTGTAAAATACAGTCATTTTTTTGTAGAAAAAATAGATTAAAAAAAAATAAAAACAAGTTTCACAGAATTGAAAGTACATGGTTTCAGTGTGTTCGGTGTCCAGCTCTGCCAGGTAACCGGGCGGGAGGGCAGCCAGCAGAGGTGTCCCCGCCGTCGCCAAGTCCAGAGAGTGCTCGGTCAGGTCGCTCCCCCACCAGCGCACCGCGGCCTCCCCGATGGCAGCTTGCACCTCGGCGCTCAGGCCAGATTTGAGGCCGAGCTGAAAACAAAAACATGAGTGGAGTTATGGGACACGGTGACATCCGAGCTGTGATGGTGCTGGACTTCCCCCTCACCTCCCTGATGAAGCCAACTCTCTTCTGATCGTCTACCGCGTCCAGGGCGCTGAGGATGGCCCTTGCGACGACGGGGTCCTTGGGGTGCTTGCGCACAATAGCGCTAAGGCCACGGGCAGAGCTCGTTGACAGGAAGTACGGCTGCAATACAAAATTGCTTTGACATTTAGCAGACCATCACCAAAATGCGCACACGGCGGAGTTCGCACTCACCGACACATGGATCAGAACGAGGACGGGTATTGCAGCCATGACGGACGGCTCAACGGAGCTGAAATCACTGATTTCCGCGGCCGCCCGAAACTCAGCTGGGACTTGAGGGCCGTCGATTAACTCTTTCAGTCGGTCGGGGAGCGAATCTGCAATCGGTATTTGTTGTTAAGTCTGGTCTTCACAGCAATGTCCGATAGTGCACATGCACCATCAGAGCAACAAGAATCAAACCCCTCTTGGCAATAATCTAAGCCGTAAGGATTAAATCGTTTTGGCGGTGATTGTACGGGGCATTAAATTAGTAAAGGACCGGGTGTCCGGGGTGATAGCAGTGAAAATTGAAACAAGGTTTTAAAATGTCAGTATTCCTTCCATTTATAAAGCACTACAAAACACATAAAGGCTCGGGTTTGTACTCACCGCCGCATTGCTGGTCCTGTGGCTTGTGCTGGAGCCCGCAGACTAGGGCGTCCGTCAGGGATGGCGCCGCCGGGGCCGCCGGGGCAGCCGCCTCTTCTATGAACAAACCACCAAGCTCAATGACAGCGAATACCATCCCGCCGGCCAGCAGCGCGCCGAGCAGGCCGCGCACGCTGCGCTCGTCGCCCGGACGGCCGCGGCCCGGACCGGCCGCTGCAACTCCTGGAGTGCATGGCCAATGCTGAGGGTGAACTCAACACTGCACTTGTGGGGCGGCTCGAAGGGCCTAAGGAGCGAGAGAAAGGGGGGGGGGGCAGCCGCCGCCCCAACAACAAGCAGGGCACGTCGACGGCGTTTCCGAATCAAGTCTGACCCCCCCTTCCCCACCCCGGACACCACCAAAACTCAGCCACTGCTTCTCCCCTATTACTAAGCGTAATAGAACGGGTATCGGGACTCACAACGCCCACACACAAATAACGCCCAACAAAATCGCACCTCGCTCCACAAAGTATAGCTCCGATTATTTGGACGCAAATTAACGCATGTGTGCCTGTTACGTCCCCACTTTGGACATACACACTTTGAGGTCATGTGAGGCTGTCAAAAATCGATCCACAAAACCTTGTCAGATTTACCTCCACTGAAGTATGTCGCGAAAGAGACAGAAGAGTTTCCGCTTTCGTATCGATTACTGGCAGATTGCCTTCTTCTCAGGGGTCTTACTCGTCAAATAATGGATTGGAGTGTTCACCATACTGAGCTCCAGCGCTATCTACACCAACAAAGTGTGCAACTGGCGTGCACATGCAAGTGCTCAACACTATTGCACACTTTTAAGTGATTGACTGAATATTTGAATACTGGAAAAGTGTTTAACAGTAAAGTTGAACACCAAGAGTGTTGAACTTTGGGGTTGGCCTAGAAGCTTAGGAGACTTTAACGTGTTCAAATTTACTGTTGCATATTTTACAGTATTCAAATTTTCGGTCCTGTACCGAAGAGTGTGCACCATAGAGTGGCACATTTATATCAAGTGCAGTCTCCGTCATATCGGCCACGACGAAAATTAGGGCTAACACTTTACCCGCATAGTACC